ATATGTAATCATAACTCAGAAAATAATATGTACCCATCTTTGATAGATTAAGAAATGAAAATGGAAGAAAGTGCTTTCTAGGTTTTAGGTTTTTTACACAATTACTCTGAGAACCTATTTTACAGCACCCCTTAGAAAAAAAATGGAAACAAATACAGCAAAAGTGTCACAATTTGGTTTATGTGAAGTCATTCAGAAGACAATGCTAGATTGCACTGTACTGTCCTAAGTCCTAAAGAACAGAATTTATTCAGCGCTAGACAATAATTTATCTCTCACATTTTCCATCATTCCAAACTACTTTCATACTTGTATTAATTTTGCCAAAACATTTTGGTTGAAAAAGCAAATATTTGGAAGAGATTTGCAAAGTGTAGGAGGCAGTGATTACCATTACTACCTTGCCCGTGATTTAACCTACACTCCAATGATAAAGATGTTCATGTAGAATCGTGATAAATATTCCCTCTTCAGCATGAAGAGTTATTCACCACGAGTATTGCCATGTTCCTTCACTGCTTCACCCACATAAAGTTAGTTTAGAAAGCCTGCTGTCTTTTTCAGACTCTGTAATACCCACAATCTTAATAACTATCTTTTCACAGAATCACTGAGGCTGGAAGGGCCCTCTTGAGATTATATAGTCCAATGCCTCTGCTCAAGCAGGGCAGGTTGCCCAGGACCATGTCCAGTTGGGTTTTGATTATCTCCATGGATGATGCAACTTCTCTGCGCAACCTGTTCCAGTGCTTGATCATTCTCACAGTAAGTGTTTTCGTGTGTTTAGGTGGAATTCTATGTGTTTTCCATGTACTCTATTCTATTTTAATTTGTGCCCATTGCCTCTTCCATTCACTGGGTGCCACTGAAAAGGTTCTGGCTCCATCCCCTTTACATCCTCTCATCGGGTACTTCTATACATTGGTGACATCTCCCCTGAGCCTTCTCTCTTCCAGGCTATACAGTCTCAGCTCTCTCAGCCTCTCCTCATACGAAAGATGCTCCAGTTCCTTAATCATCTTTGTGGGTCTTTGTTAGACTCGTTCCAGTAAGTCCACAACTTTCTTGAACTAGGGAGCCCAGAACTGGACACAGCACTCCAGATATGGCCTCACCAGTACTGAGTAAAGAGGATTGATCACATCCTACAACCTGCTAGCCATGCTCTTCCTGGTGCAGTCCAGCATGCTTTTCCACAGTATCACAGCAGCCAACAAATAACCAGTAAGGAGAGAAAAAAAAGCAAGATGAAAGTGAAGAGTGCCTTAATTGAAGACAAATGGATGAAACAAATTCCATTTTCCTCCCCTTCCCATTTTTTCATTGAACTAATGCTGAGCGCTGTGGTGGCAGAGGTCGATTTACAATAGTCCTAGGACCCTTCACCACTGACCAAGGAACGAGAGTCTTTGTGTGAGGCATAGTACAACAACAAACAAAACAGGAAGTTATACAGAGCTATCAGGACATGGGTGAATGGCATAAAACAAGAAACGGACAGACTTATAGACTACAAGAATATAAGAGAACAGAAGAGGATTACAGTGTTACACAAGCACTTCTGAGTTCTGAAAAAATACTGCAGCTTTATTTCTTAGGAATAACAGGGAGCAGTAAATTGGGAAACTGAAGCAAAAGCTTTGACAACTATTCATTTAGGCAAACAAAATAATGGTTGCTATCCAGAACCAACCAGTTCTTCGGGTCTGAATCCTTTTGGTTGGTACCTAGAAAATTGCTGGGTGATCGACTTTTGAGTACTTGATGAGGCCTATTCTGAATATCCTTGAGTGAGTAAGCAGAATCAGTACACTTGCTTGCACAAGAAAAAGATTAGATGACTGAGAGAATTTAACTGTTAGAAGTCAGAATGTAAATGTAAACCAAGTAGAAACTGAGGCACAGAGATGTTTATCATTATGAGAGTATTTACGCACAATAAAAACTTTACACAGTGTAAATGTCTACTTATTTCAGTTAACATGTTCCAGAAGCCAACTGTAAATCTGAGGCTCCTGTAACAGAGAACTTAGGAAAAAGACATGCATACAGGAGCAGCTCAGAGATCATTACTGGTTACAGGGCTTACAGTCACTGCAAGAGTGGGTTCTGCTTCCAAGAAGGTGTAACAGACAGAGTCTGTACCAAAAAAAAGCTGACAGAGACACTAAAGTCTAGCAAACAAAGGATGGATGATTGTGCTCCTTGTCTGCAAGTTTACAGGAATGAGTTGAACGTTCCTGTATTTGTCTTTAAATCCTAGGACCTAGGAAGGAACTACCTATTGAAGAGACAGATGACAGAACGAGGAAGGAAAACCAGAACTACACAACAGAAACTGCAAAACACTTACCCAATTAGGTGTGTGACAAAAGTTATTTGTACATGTACTTTCTTATGCATGAGAGCATCTGAAGTCAGGAAAATGAGCCTGGGATATGTACAGATGGGGATTAAGAAACACACATGAGAAGGGATAAGAATTTATATAGAAAACTCAAGGTTTGTAGAAACCTGCCAAAAACATATCCTGAAGGACAGAAAAATCAGGAAGAAAATTACTTATGTGAGAATATGACCACGTAAAAAGAGCAGAGAAAGTGACAGCATACCAATGAAGAAAAAAAGATTAATCTGTCTGCCTCTGCTATATAACAAGTTGTCGTCTAATGATGGGATGGCCAGAAAGTAAGAAAAGGAAATTAACCTCAGCAGGAAAGTGTCAGGGAGGTTGGATGGACTGAACGCCAAAGTTCACATGTACTAGAGGTTTAGAATTTTTACATAAGCTATCTGGAATTTTCAATCCAAACAGAAAGAAACAAGTCAGTGATTCACTGAGATAAATAATCATCTCAAAAATGCTACTAGGAGTAAAAAGTTGACAAGGAAATGGGGGGAGGAGAGGACCCTGACTAGTGAAAATAACCCACAAACATACATAGTAGAAATTAGAACAGAAAATGAAAATAAGAATAGTCCAAAGCCAGCCTGACATGAAGTCTGCAACAGATATTAAATACAAAGATTAAATAATTCTTTTGTCGTGTAAATAACTGCATGCTGTGGGAATGGTTCAGAGATGAAGAATAAGCAATACACAGCCCAGAATTATAAGACTCTATCCTTTAAAAACAAAAAAAAAAGATGAGAAAAGTGTGAAAGAACAGCACTGTTAATGGAAGTAACTATGAAGAAGTGAAAATCACCACATCTAATATAGTAAACTCAGCAGTGAATGCTTTAAACAGTATACATACTAGAGCTGGTAATCTAGGTAGCTAAATAATTTCCCAACGCTCTTGACCAATAATTCAATCTGCTTCATTTTCTTAATTAATTTCCAAATACTCCTAGATGACAGAGAATCTACTTTAGCAGAACATGTGTATATTCCATATGAAAGAATCCCTATAGTTCACTGAATGCAATATGGCTGGCCATTTACAAGCCACATATATATATATATACACACATACACTGTCCAGAGAATATGCATCAATTTCAGAAAAGCTCCATCCTCTCCAAATTGGATTTCAGGTGCACTAGCAGTTACGTAGTACTAGCAGCTTTTCAGGGCAGTAGCAGATATGGGAGGAAAAAAAGGCTATCTCTCCAGAGCTATGAAGATGTGTGTTTATAGGAGGGAGGGAATATAGGCACAACTGAGTCATGTCTTGGACCCTGCTGAGGTGAAAAGAAAGTATTGTATCTTAAGCTTTTGGATAAAGAAATCCTTTAACGCCTTGATAGTCGTACTGTGAAGTTTGAAAGCAAGATGAAGGCATCAGCTACCAATGTGCTAAACTGAAAACTAATCCGATGTAGATATAACATAGAAATGCGCATTCCAAAATTTTAAAGTAATGCGTGCAAGAATCTGAATGCTTTATGTGTACAGGTTCCAGAGCTGATTATTCAGTTACCTAAGACACTTCTCAAGAGCATCAGACTACCAGTTTCAATTGTCTCAGGCTTCCTCTAGACTTTGACAGTAAACCTAGCACAGAGATCTACCCCATGCATCTCAGAAGACTGGTTTAAAATGAATCGGTCTGGAAACAATCCTCATTCCAACAGATGATTGTGTGAAGACATCTTGACAGTAATACACACATCAATTCAAACAGGCTGTCAGACCAGATTCTCCAGTCTAGTCTCCCACTGACACTTTTTAGAACTAATGCCCTTAAACTGCCAGCCTTACTTTCCTGGAACAGTGAAAGAACACTAGATTGCTATTTCAGTGGCCACTTCTTTCCCATAATGCAGTTGGGGAGTTTTGCTGTGATACATTACATTACTTTATCTTAATCTAGACTACATGCAGTTGATATTCTGCAGGAGTCACCCTTACAAAAGAAGCTCATGGAGGCTGCCTGTTGGCACCTGGAGAAAAAAAAAAAATCAACTTTTATAACCATGTAAACATAGCTACCCTACGTTAACTGGCGATTACTTCACGTAAATGAAACATGAACACAAACTCCATCTTAGCAAATTCTAAGAAACCGAAAGATTACTATATAAAATGAGGAAAAAAGGGAGAAAGCACTGCTGCATACTGTCGAAGGGAACAAAGTGAAAAACATTTCTAGGTTAGCAACAGTAACTACAAAAGCAATACTTGTCCTTAACAAAGAACAAATAAAAAACACAAGTTAAGAACCCAATACCATCTTGATCCACATCAAGACAGAGCTGCAGCTCTCTCTCCAGCAGAAGTCCTCGCTCAAAAGCCATTACCCTTCAAGCAAGTCTGCTGACTTGCATAGGTTAGAAGGACAAAATAGATGTTTACGAGAGTTATACTTTAGGGGAATCTCAATAAAACAGTCACAGGAAAAGAAATATGTATCTGCTGTATTACAGTATAATACTATCACGACTCTAGGTTCTCTAAACAGAAGAGAACTGACAAACACTTCTATAATCTCTGGTATCAAACGTAAGTGAAAATAGGAAAATACCTGCTACTTTAATTACAGTTGCATACTTACAGTGGAATAAGGTAGTTCTGCACTCACTCAACCCATTTTGCTGCACACCTCCATCAGTCCGTTGTTGGGTCTAGCTCTGGCTATGCAGCAGGTTTATCTCTTGCTTAAAAGCATGACATTCCTGGAAATTAACAGGAAGCAGGATTATGGTGACATTTATTATATAACTTACTTCTTCTCAAACTGTGCCTTCCTTACCTGAAACATGCACTCTGGTATTTTTATTCTTAGCTCTCCCTTCCAGCTTTGATGGCTAGTTCCCCTTTCCAGTTTCATTGGTATGTGACAAATTCCAAAACTCAAAAGAACTAAAGAATATATCACAAAGGGATAAGCAACGTATTAGGAATTTCATAACTAAATTTTCTTCAAATATGTACCTGTAACTCTTCCTCACTCTGTCAATCAACACAACGTCCAAGCTGATACAGGTTTGCCTATTGGTTTTAATCACTTCTTTCGAGGTGCTTTATGAATGGTAAATGCTACTCATTCTCACTTCGTTTTCCTCAAGACTTAACTAAACAAAGCAGAATGGGCACAAACCCAAATACAATCATTCTTCATTCTCTGTATTAGCAAATTAAGCCACAGCTCTTCCACCAAACATGATCAGCAACAAACCTGAGAAAATACTGTTTGGGTAACTCGCTTTGGTGATATTTAGACATGGCCCTTCCCTTTTCTCCTCTTTTGCCTTATACTTAATTTTTAAGAAAATTTTACATCAAGTGAGAAGAAAATAATCTCAAAGATAGATACTTCCATGTGGAAACTGACACAAAAATCCCATTAAAGCCCATGTTGCTTTGATAAAGTTAAAAACCACTGCAGATCACATAGTGTATTGTGCCTCCACTACAGTCTCTATTCTTCTTCTACTGTTAAGGAACCTCCACTTACAAAAATGTATATCTTCTAGTCTTTAAATACATGTAATTCCTACTGGCATCAAAGAAAGCTACCTTTTGCTGGAAAAGGAGTATTCTCTTCATACACTCAAAACTCATCCAAACTGCGAGCATACATACAGCAGGCACTCCCTGCATGAGCAAAAATGATCCTAGTTCATAAAAGAATCAAAATAACAAGTTACGAATGAGTTAGCATCCACTTAAGTATTTCAACCAAAATTACAGACATAATGTATGTTCACATCCCATCTCAGCTTTGTCAATCAGATTTGTTCCCTGGCAATTAAGTTTTTGTTTTGTGTGTGTGTCTGAGTGCACTCTATTCTGTCTACTTCTTTCACTCTGAATGGCTTTGAAAACTAACTTTCCAAGTAAAATTTTGATACATCTGAAAAAATTGCCTTCGCAAACTCCGTGCTGGCAGTCTCCAGCGTATCTGAACTTTTCAATTAGGCAGCATTAATTCTTCCTGTTTCTCCACCTCCCCCATGCTGTTAATAGTCCAAGGTCATTTGGTATTGAAGACAGATATCAATCAGGCAGACAGAAAGAATTTATCAGGAATAGATACACATGCCATCTGGTGTCAGCAAACAGAAGTCCATGAAAACATTAACAAACAGGGAAGAAAACAGCCTCTGTTGGAAAAAAATTCATTAATATTTGGAATCCTGCATTAAAGAAGACCTCTGCACCTCGCCACAAATTAACTGAACAACTTTTAATGAGACTAACATTCATTCAAGTTGAAGCATGTGTTTCACGCCACACCAAACCCAGAAAAATATTTTTTTTACAGTAATCCAGTTATCCACTATAGTTGATGAAAAGCTTTGAGCCAAGGAAAATATCTAGGACTATGTATACAAAGGAATGATAGGAATCAGAAAAAAACTATAAAAATTAGATAATCCCACACCTTGTCTTGGGTAACTGTAAAATAGTGCAAAATCCTTACGTTTCATATTACTTGCTAAAGGAACTATTAAAGATTCCATTAACTTTCCATCTTCCTCAATTTCTTTGGTGCAACATGTTCCATAAGAGAGTATCTAAATGTTTATTTTGGAGAAATTTCTGCAAAATAGGATATTGCTTTCAGATCCAAACATGAGAAAATCCACACTTTTTTTTTTAAAATACTTAAACTATTTACTTTCAGAGTTAAAAATACTTGTACTTACTTAAAAGATGTCATACTTCTGAATATCTATTTCTGACTGCTTATGAAATCAACAGATGTAGTCATAAAAGGAATTCATTGAAAGCAGCATAATTTAACTGTGTTATTTAAGCAGTCTTCTTTCCTTTCGTAAAGGATCAGCTATGCTTTGCTAAAACACGAAAGTGAAGTCTGCATTCACAAACCAGTTGCAGAATTTTTTTATTCAACATTTAAAATCTGAAAACACTAATTGGTATTAAAAAAACCCCTAAACCTTTCAGCTGTTCATTTTCTATCACTTGAAGATGGCATTTATAAGATAAATGTAAAGATATTAAAGTAATATTAAACCATGCATTAGTCTGTTGAAATAAGAGAATTTTCTTGAAAGCCATCCTAATGTAGTTTCAGAAAACAAATCTGGCTGAAGACTGTATCTAGCATATTGCTCAGGAAGCAGAATATATATGACAAAGGCCAACAGAGTTAGGCTTTCATTGACAAAAAATAAGAAAGAGCTCAGATGCAAGACGAGAGACTGAGAGAACTAGATCTGTTAGTCTTAAAATGACTATGCTAACGACTGATCTTGTTGCTGGCTTTAACTGCCTAATGGGAAATTACAGAGAAGATGGAACCAGACTTTTCTCCAAGGCAAGCAATGCAAAAAAAAGAGGCAAAAGAGACAAGTCACAGGAAGGTAAATCCCAATCATACATCAGGAAAAAAATACTCACAATGGAAATGCTTAGGCATTGGAACAAGTTGCCCAGAGAGGTTATGGAATCTCAAAATTCAGAACTCAGGAAGACACTGAGCAACCTGCTCTAAACTGGCCCTGCTTTGAGCAGGGATTTGGACTAGATTATCTTTGGAGATTCCTCACAACTTACATTATTCTATGACTAGAGTAATTCCTTATTCTAAAAGCTGCGTGTTTTCCTCTACATCATTTCAGTCCAAGCTAGAGTCTGTGAATACCTAAGCATACCGTTCCATATCCCACCCTAGATTAAGTTTTGCATAGTTGTTCAAGAAGCGGGTGGACACCACTTAGATACATGGTTTAACTTTTAGGTTGCCCTGTGTAGAGTCAGGAGTTGGACTCAATGATCCTCGTGGGTCCCTTCCAACTTAGGATATTCTATGATTCTATGTTGCATCACTATTATGTCTAAACTTCTACTCACAGCAATTTAAGCTGCAAGAGATCATTAAAATCACTTAGTCTGATCTTCAGTTTTTAGTGACGTGTCTTTACATTTCACCCAGTTGTTTGTGTGTTGGCCTCAAAAATCTATCTCAAAATGAACACAGGCTGTTTTTCCTGAAAGACAACTGAAGTTTCCCGTTTTCTTGCTCCAGAACTGCATCCTAATTTCTTATTTAAAGTGTTTCTGCTTCAGTTTCATTTGTTTATACTCTGAATGTAACAGCAGCTGTACCAGGAGAACCTAATCATCTGTGCAGCACAGCTTCCAAACTGCATACTGCTTCACAGGTAGAATGTACCCAAAAACAGAAGATGGAGGAAATGATGAAGCACTACTTCCTCAAAATATTTTTTCTAGTCTACCATGATTTGCAGTTCAGGGACTTCCTAAGTCACAGATAAAAATCTTTGCACCTAATATTCCGTCTAGACTTCCCTCTTACAAATTTACCCAGTTGCTCTGCAAATATACAAAGTTTTTTTGCAAATCTTGGAGCATCTACAACATCCTCTAACGAGAGTTCTGCAGCTTGTGAGAAAATTAGGGTTTTTGTGAAAAATGTCTGCTCCTGAAGCTAGCTTTTCTTAGCCTGATTTTATGCCCTCTGGTTCTTGCATTAAAGATGCCAAGTAAAAAACCAATCTTTCCTGTTCACCTTCGCAATTCATGATTTTAGAAAGATACCATACCCTCTCTCGGACATCTCTTGTAGGCTGAGGGCTCCTAGTCAGATTACAGTTCACTTTTTGTAAGTCAACCACATCCTTCACTTCAGCCCCACTGCCCCTCCCTGTAGCTTCTCCAATTTTCTCACACCCTTTTAAGGATGGGGATAGAAGAACACCACACACTGTTCAAGATATACACCCGCTGTATACCTGTTCTTTGGTCTTCTCATATAAATCCCTACCACTAACACTTTTCTGATCATTTTGATGTTCTCATAGATATCTCTCTTGCCTATCTTGAAGAGGCTGACCACAGCAAACATTTCTCTTTTGTGTTCAAGACACTCCTTGATCCTGCACTTAATCAATTAGGCTGATCTTGCTCTTTAAGTCTCTCATCACAAATTCTTAAAACATTTTTACTGCTAATTTTAGGGCACTAAGAACTTTTACCTTCCTTTTTAAAATGAGGGTATCAAAATCATGCCTTATAATCCAGTACCATTTTCACCAAACGCTTTAGAACTTAAAATCTTCTTCCTAATTCTGCTCATAACTTCCTTGTCTACCTATTTAGAGTTAGAATTAATCCTTTTTTCCTGTAACAATGCTGAGAGTTCTTGTTGCGTTGCTTACCTGTTTTGACTGCCTGCCTCACCTGCAGAATGTCTGTCAAAACACGTTCCCTTGTACTTTGAATGAAGTCTAAAGTTCCTCTTCTTCAATATAAAAATTTGTTTGACCTTAACACAAATTACTGAAATGCATAGCATGCCCAGTGGTCTACTTCACCCTGGGCAGATCGACTGTCTTAACTGTTCACGTTTTTAACAAGTTATGTAATTTACAAATGTTAACCATGGCATTCACAAATTTATTGCCAGATCACTGACGAAGCTATGCACTGTCAGACCTAGCGCAATTCCCTGTAGATGTATTCTTATTATAAAATGGTTCTTTCATAAGCAGCTAGTACTGATATATCGGATCGACAGTAAACCATCTGTTTATTGCGTTTGTTACTAAAAGGATAATATACTGTTATATTTTAAACTTGAGTATCACACAGTATTAGAGTGCTTGATTAAGTAAACATATTCATAGCTTTTACCTACTTACCTGGGTCAATTCAACATATCATTGCATACAAGAACAAAGTTAGGTTTGGTTAGCAAGACAAATTTCTCACAGAACCATGTTGCCCAACTACCTCAATATTTCTGTTCTTCAACATATTATTAAGTAAAGCCCATCCTATTTTCCCCTATTATTTTGTTTTATATGGCTAACCAAGGCAACATTAAGGAACAAGCTTCATGGAGTGCTTGCCTTTCATTAGCTCAACACTAGAACTCTCGGTCTTCAAAATCAGACTGGCAGACCAGAGATCTCAACTTGTATGTAGCAATTTAAGAAGAAATCTGGTTCTCAGACTTTTAAATTGTTTATCCTCAGGAGATACTGCCTGACATTTATTAACTGGAAAATATTTCATAGTTCTTATCTGATACAACATCCTGTTTTTTACCAGAAGGAAAAAAAAAATTATACAGACATTAATGGTTTTCCCAAATTTGCCTAGCAATAGACAAACATATCACTAGGCTTCCTCCAGAATAGGTACCAATTCTTCTCGCTGTCCTGAGCTCTAGTAAGTACAACTGGCTCCAAAATCTTTGGTTACTTTTTCATCTACAGTACTTCAAAAATTCCAATTTACAAAATTTTTACCTAGTTCCCCTACTCCCATTTTTATATATTCATTTTTGCTTCTAAACACCTCTATTTTGAAACTAAGTCAGTTTGAGCTGCTGATGAAGAGTGTTACGCTTCTCAGGTGTCATAGGAATGGAACGCATGATTTTTAAATGGGACGATCTCTCTGTTGAATCCCCCCCGCCCATTCCATATGGGCTAATACCACAAGTATGATGAAAAATGGGAGCAAAAATTTGCAGAATAAGAGTTTTAGAGAAGTGTTGTTGAAAATTGAAGTTTAATTAAAAAAATGTAGGTTTTGGCAGTTGAGAAAGATGAGCTTTTGCTGACTGTCAATATAACATATTACGGTAACCAAAGAGACTGGAAAACTAAAAATAAACACAATTTAATTTCACCATTGTTAGTCACAGAAAACACTGAATAGCATACAAAAAATAGCAAATATGGTCACTTAAAGACTTTTTTTTAAAGAATAAGTTTCACAGTCTCATAGTCTGACAAAAGTTGTGCTTCCTATATAAATTTGCTTAAAGATATTTTACATTTACATATATTACAAAATAAATTAAAATATCTTTCATTTGCGAAAGTGCTCATTAGTCATGTTTTTAAATATACTATCATATCCACATGTAAAGTTTGATTACAAAATGTGCTAAGAGCCTGGAAATAAAGTTTACATGGAACAAAAAAGCAAAGCTCATAACTACTGACCTTCTTGACTTCTAGATGTTACCCCTTTACTAAAATAAGGTAAATAAACAGAAAAATGAATAAAATTACTTGGTTAAAATAACAGTTTCCTAGCATTTTTCTTCAAACTGGTGCTACACCATGCAGGACCCACAACATACAGAAAAAGAACAAACAAGCGCACATAGTTCTGTCCTTACTGCACACTCTTCCTGTCCTTCTCACACATGAAGAACAACTACTAGGCACAGCATAGATGTTCAACATGAAAACAATTATGACTTTAAAAGCATCTGTTGGACATAAAGAGCACAAATTGCTGCATTCAACTATAAGGTCTTTAACACAAGGAATATCTTTCCACATCATAAGAGGGACCAAGCCAGATTTAATTTTTTTTCAATAATAAATAATACAAGAGACTACATATGTTCCGTTTCCTTGGGTTCAGAACAACAGACTACAGACAAAAGGCATGCTACGGTTCTAGAACTGAGACTTTCAACAACAGTTCCTTCACCACTACATGCCAAAACTTTAGATATATCGAAGCCTGCTGAAGCCAGACCAAAAATTACTTGA